TGTAGCAGATACTATTTTCCAGTGTGACTATAAGAAGTAGGTCAGAGAGGTTATATTTGAAATGGATTTACAAAAGAAATATTATGCATCTGTGCTTGGTGGAAGGTGGCAGAATGAGGTCTGGTGGATTTTACTCCATGGCACTTTATCTAGAGGTCTCTCTTAGAGAAGGATCAAAGCTGGGTGAAGGCCGTCACTGTGCAGCAAGCAGCATTTGTATGGAAGACATCAGACTATTAAGCATTATAAACGAAGTGGAGAAGACTGAACAAGCTGAGGAATTCTGACCAAGCAATGAGAGATGTTTTGAAGTTAATCATGTAGATGTTATGGAAGAAGTTGCATTTGGGTGAGGCTGTGAGAGTGGGCCACCCATGTCTCTGCAGCTGGGAGAGGAGGTGTGTTGAGATGACATTGCCCACCCAGTACAGGACTGAAAGGGTTTTTCGCTTGTGAGTAGTTTGGGCTAGTGAGATTGTGCAGGTAGGCAACAGTGCTGTCTTCACTCTGAGGATGGAGAGTACTCACAGCAGTAACCATTCTTTTTGGTATTTGTAGTAAATTGCCAAGCAGTTTAGGATTTGTGGGGTGGATTACTGAGAAGAATAGACAGGATTTGATGGAGAAATGGTGCTAGCCCCCCTCCTTTGTGTGTGGTTCGGTCAGAGATTCTGCACCTGAAAGAAAGACGCTCAGTCTCAGCTGTGGGGTTTAGAGCAGGCTCCTGCTGTCTCCTTTACCTGTGAGAGCCTGCTCTATTGCCGAGCATCTGTTTTTGCTTGCCTTCTATTGGTTTCTGTCTTTCTCCCTTCTTTTCTGCTTCCAACCTGCAGCAAATTACCTTTGTCCCTCTCTGTTCTCCACTGCTTTCCTCATGCAAGAAGAAGGTTGAATAAAAGTGAAGGAAGCCTTTGCGTTACAGGAGAGTGGAAGTGTTTAATACAATTAAATGTGGAGAGAGACAGATCAAAACTCAAATTCTTTTCTGTTCACATTTGAGCCGTAGAGCTTCCAGCATAGTAAATCATTGACCTCAGGAAGGTTATTTAAGCAGAACAAACAATCAAACAAAATCCCATAATCCTTATCTTTTAAATGATCTTTATTTATACAGGTTCATAGACTGTGTGTTGATAATAGGACTTAACAAACCAACATCTCATTGTGTTTTATATAGTGTTATTTTTGAGTACTTCAGCTCAGATTCTCAAGGTGGGAAGGAGTCAGGTCACACAAGATCGGTGAGGGCTTCTGTACAATAGATGGTGAAAGAGATGGTGAGAGTGATGGTTGTAGAATAGAAAGAAAAGCCCTGAAATGTGACCTGTAGAATCCTAAAAAAAACCCCAAAACATTAAAAAAAAAAAAAAAAAGGGCAATGCAATTCATGTGCCTGCGTGTATGTATTCTCAGGGGATTAACTCAGCCATCTCTTGTTATTCAGATATCGTCCTGATATTCAGCGTGTCATGTTAGCAAAATGCTCTTGCAAAAATACACTCATAGATTCAGCAGCCGTTGCCCTGCAATGCTTTAATCCCTGCCCTGATTGGCAGACCTTAACCCTGTTGCATTTTGCTCGAGAGCTATTTTCAATGATAATTTAGATAAGCTGGGTATTTGCTTACCTCATGTTGTCTCCCGATTGAATCACTGAGAAGAGCAGAATGTTTTGCCCTCCACAGGCTGTGCCCCATTGATAACCTGTGATGTGCCCACACACAACTCTGGAGTCTAAGCAGTTTTATGATAGAAGGATCAGTGCCAGAAGTCTACAGGAGATCATTTAACTGTGCTGTCCTAAAAGAAAAGGTATTTGTAGCTGTTGGGAAGGGTATGTGTTTTAAAGCTCTGAATCTGGTGGGATCCACCAGGAACGTTAGGGGGTCTGAGCCAGTCCCACCTGGGGCAGAATACTGTAGAAGTAGATGGAAGAAAAACTTTAATTATTTTGGTCATTCATTTGTATAGAGTTAAATCATGTTCTGTATGCTGCTTATGTTAACACTCATTCAGAAACAGCAAATCTCTGTTTAATCTGTATTTTTCTACCTTTGATTGCTTTGTTTCTTTTGCTCTAACTTTTGGGGATATCTGGTGAGTTTGTCATCCTCTAAAGTCGGCAAAAATTACATCATATGAAAGCAAATGACAAATTGCTTTTGTGCTTCTTCGTTGTATTTCTTCCCCTGTGGCTTCTTAGGTCGAATGTTAAAATTGCAAGTTCTTAGTGCATTAAATTGTATTTTCAAGATGCTTAGCACACGTCTTCAGAATCATAAATAATTATTGTGAAGTATGTGATAGGCTTGATGGTCTGTTATTGTGTTAGCTAATAGCTGTGGTTTGGGAGACACGTCTAAGAGCAGCAGTGTTTGTGATTGCTTGACATTTCTTCAGTTTTTGCTTAATCCAAAGATTCATTGCATTCCAAGCATAAAGCATGGCTTTGCAAAAAAAAAAAAAAAAGTTATATTAATAATCTCAGGAATGTTTAGAGGTGCTTTCTAGTGACTGCTGCATTGCTTCAGAGGTATTTTCCTTCCCTTGTTCAAACAATCAACTTTAAGGTTTTCAGACAGTTCATTCCAACTGATTGAACTTTCATATAAGCATGTAACTCTCCAAAGATCAAAAATTGCCTCAAGATATTTTTAATTTAATAAAGAACCAAGCTGACTTCAGACTTATACAGACTGCATAAATCCAAAACTCCAAAATCTAATAAATCTAAAACTTTTTAATTAAAAGTTGAGATATCTCAATTTAAATAAAGCCGAGTCAGACATGTCTTTCTGTCATATTTTTGGGAAATTGCCATTTAGCCCCATGAATAGTGATTTACAGTAAAAGGGAGGAGAAAAGACTGAATAACTTGAGGCAGGGATAGCAATCTTTTAATCTTCCAACTGTCTTGCTAGAGTTATCTGTTCATAGAAAATACGACATCTCATCTGAGGACCTCCAATGAGTATTTTGCAAAAGTATAATATAATTGACACATTTTAATCAATTAAATATGGTTAAGAAGTTGCTTTAACTGTTACCAGAAAGTCTGTCAACACCCCAGAAGACAAGGTAGTGCATTTTGCCATCTTTTCTTAGAAAATAATCCTCTCTGTGCTCTGTTTCTGGGAGTTTGCTTTCTTTCTTCAGCTCATTCTGAGAAGAACCTAACTTTAGAAATATCTCCAGCAGCATTTAAATGCAGGCTGAGTTACGTTGTGGAGCAGGGATGACTTGCTAAGTTGGAGGCATGGGCTAGAGATTTCAGCTCCCTTCTACATCTAATTTTTCTTTTGACTGTGACAGTCCTGGTCATGAATTGTAAATTGTGAGGTTATACGGATGAATAACATAAGAGTTTATAGCGGGTGGTTTTTTTCAGTAATCTTCTCCAGTCCCAAAACCCATGAAATCTTTTATGTTTTCTTGTCCAGCTCTTTGAAGTACTCAGTCCCACTCAGCCAGTTCAGAGTTTAAGGGAACGCCGAAACAGATCTATAGCAAGCTATGAGGGTTGGTATTGAGGCATCACTGTTCATCCCTCAAGGAGAAATTCTGGTTACTCAGAATTTGACAGCAGCGTGTCAGGGCACTCCTTTGCCTGCACATGTGCCTTCAAATGCCAAACCTGCATTCCTAGTGGTAGTTGCCTGCATCTGTCCTAGTCCAGGAGTTTGAACACCAGCACTCGGGTGCAAAGGATCCCATGTCACCTCCCCTGTTGAGAAGCGCCTGATGGCACACCTGCAACAGGTAGAAGGACGTACAAAGACAGGGGTGACAGGACTGAATGGTGACAAGGAGGTAAATGAGACCGAGTTTGGCCAGGTGGCTGGAAAGCGGTAACAATGAACTGTGAGAAGGAAGGGAGACTAAGGCTGGCAGCCCTGAACAGCTGGTGTCATCTGAGGGTAGAACGTAGCAGAGAAGTCACATGAAGTAGGGCTGGTGAGCTGGCTGGCTGCGGGACAAAGCTGAGATGAATGAGAAGGAAGGGGAAGAAATTGAACTTCATCTGGTCAGGTAAAAGAGAGAAAACCACAAACTCTTGTAAGGAAAAGTGGGAGTGGACTAGAAAGAAACTAAGAAGACTGGAAGATTGCTTGCTATATATTTCCTAACTTCCAGTAGCTTGACTGCAACTTCACTCTTTTTTTAAGCAGAGCTTTGTGATGTGTGGATACTGTTATTTGCCTGTATTAGGAATAGCGTAGCCAGTAGGACCAGAGAGGTGATTTTACCCCTGTACTCTGCACCGGTGAGGCCGCATCTTGAGTACAGTGTTCAGTTTTGGGCCCCTCACCACAAGAAGGACACTGTGGCGCTGGAGCGTGTGCAAAGAAGGGCAATGAAACTGGTGAGGGGTCTGGAGCACCAGTCTTATGAGGAGCGGCTGAGGGAACCGGGGTTGTTTAGCCTGGAGAAAAGGAGGCTGAGGGGAGACCTTATCGCTCTCTACAACTACCTGAAAGGAGGGTGTAGTGAGGTGGGAGTCACCTGTTCTGTCAAGTAACAGGTGATAGAACAAGATGAAATGACTTCAAGTTGTGCTAAGGGAAGTTTAGATTGGGTATTAGGAAGAATTTCTTTGCTGAAAGGGTCATCAGGCATTGGGAATGCCTTACCCAGGGCAGTGGTGGAGTCCCCATCCCTGGAGGTATTAAGGGTCCTGTAGATATAGTGCTCAGCGACATGGTTTAGTGGTGGGCTTGTCAGTGTTAGGTTAATGATTGGACTAGATGATATTACAGGTCTTTTCTAATCTAGGAGAATTTGTGATTATATTATATGCTTATTATGTATTATGCTATTACAGTATTTTTAGTGTGTGTGTGCATGCCCAATATATGCAGTAGTGTGCTAGGCTGCAGGGAGTTCCTAATAAGGACCATGAGCGCAGGTCTTTAGTTTGCACTCCCTGGTAACTTTTTTGGTTGAAATGATTCTTCTGAGTAAAGACCGCAAGATGTGGCCCATTGACTTACTGACACTTTGTGCTAATGTGAGACTCCGAAGAGAATGGTTAGCCGGCATCCCCTGCCACAGCCGTGTTAATGGCAGCATGAGTTCACGGTAGCAGAGGATTCAGTCCAGCACCCACGAGCTTGGCTACTTGGTTTTGTGTTATGCTGGAAGCTTAAAGTTGTCTTCAGTTCCCCCTTGGTTTTGTTTTTTGTTTTGCTTAGAAAGTAGCCAGACAACTGCTGGTTTTGTTCAGGGTAAGGAATCAAGAATTCAGTATGTGTGTTGGGGCTTGCTGTGGAATACAGATATTTACTGCTGCCAAATAACAAAAGAGGACATAATAATTTTAAGGAGACTGCTCATACAGAAACTATTGTTATTTTTACAATAAAAGCTTCTTCAAGCAATTAAGAAAATGTTTTTTTTCTCGCTTCTAGTATTTATCTTGTTAATGGCTTCTTTTCTTTTTCAGAACAATAAATCTAAACAATAGTTTACTGCAACAAGTAATAGAAAGAAAACATGAAGTGCTGTGCATCTTGAGAGAAAAGATAATAACGACTCAGAAGTGTACAATATCTGAACATATCCAGACAGAAGAAAAAATCAGCGGTGCGATTGGATGCAGTAGAAAAACAGTAAAGGTAAAAGTTATTAAAAATCTGGAAGGAGTAGAAGAAATTATGATTTCTCTAAATAGACTTCAAAGTATTTTTCATGCATCCTTAACATGTTGAAATCTCTTCCTTAACATGTTGAACTCACTGCCACTGCTTAGTTGTGAAACTTCAGAAAGGTAAAATGTTTTTTCCCTTGCCTCAGTGGCAAAAGATGCCATTTTTTAGTGTGACCCTGGAATGTGGTTTCCATCGATACTGTCAAATTGGGATTCAGTTTCTATGTTGAATCCTGCCTACAACAGGACATAAAACAAACATACAAGAATTCAGTGAAAGTTGAAGAGCAAAAAGTATGGCTGACACAAATTTATTTGAAAAGCCAAGTAGTCATTCATCAAAAATGTTTGCAATGTCTACTGAGTTTTAATAATTATTGAGAAGCTATGTGTTTTCAGTCATGGGAGCGGAGATTAACTGCATTATGAGAATATCTGAAAAATTGCCTATGAATTGAGAAAGAATTACTGAAGTCAAAACATATGCTCATTCATTGTCAGTTTTTTTTAAAGCTGCGGATGAATCAGTTCTGTGTACAGGGTGTCTCCAGTAGCAGAAATCTGGGAGTTGCAGTTCAACAGCCCTCTGTGCAAGTGCCACCTTCCTGGTACCAGTCTCCAGCTGGGCAAAAGAGGGGTCAGGATAGAAGAGGGCAGGGCAGGATACTGAAGTGAGTGCCCATTTCCTAGTGACACAGTGTTTCACGTGTGGCAAACGCTGTACCTGGAGCTCAACTTTGTACTAGGACAGGGCAGCTAAGAGTTTGAGAGCTGCTCTTGGCATTGTGCTTCTACTTTGCTACTCATCTAGTTCCTTTCAGAGATGTCAAATGTAATGTGCTTTAGTTAGACATCATAGAGAATAAAGCACGTTCTTTCTCTGTATTTTTTACCCTTAATTAATTCTGTATTTAAGCTACACAATGGCTGAATGAGATAAACAGTGAATCTCTCCTCTAGGTTTCAGTGAGTGAAAATGGAAGTGTGATGAAGGATGCTAGTGTGATCCTTGAAATTCCTCCTGCAACCACTATTGCCTACGGTGTAATTGAACTGTTTATAAAGCAGAGTGGCCACTTTGGTAAGTCTAAAGCTCGTTTTCTGTGGCACGCAGTTCAACGGTGGACAGAGCTGTCTGTTGGGCAATGATTTTTGCATTTCCCTGTGTATGAAGGTGATGATATTATATGGTCTCCATTGCCTTGCTAGTTATTTGTGCTGTGTAATGCTGCTCTTCTGATTTAGCAATGCTTTTTCAGTTGTTTGAATAAATCATAAACTTAAATCTAAATTAGGTTTCAGGGGCCCACAGGAGGTCATTTAGCTCAAGCCCCAGCTCAAGACATGGCCAACTTTTGAAGTTTGGTCTAAATTCAGTTAGATCAGGTTGCTCATATGCTTATCTATTCAAGTTTTGGTTATCTCCAGAGATGGAGATTCCATCAGACCTCTGGGCAGCCTGTTTTCTTGTTTCACCACCATCACGGTGAACTTTTTTTCCCCCTTAATATCTAATGAGAATTTTCCTTTCTTTAATTTGCATCTCTTGCCTTTTGTCCTGCTATCATACAGAAGGATCTGTCTCTGTCTTCTCTTCGTGCTTCCATTGGGTAGTTGTAGACAACAATAAGGTTCTCCCTTAGCAATGTTTTCTCCAGGCTGGACAAACCCAGTCTTTCAGCCTCTTCTCATACATGATATTCTCCAGCCCGCAGTGATCTTGGTGGCCGTTTGTGAGATTGCTCCAATATGTGAATGTCTGTGTGGTACTGGGGAGTCCAAAACTGGACACAGCACTCTGAATGCCATCTCCCAAATTGAAAAATCACTTTCATTGATCTGCTAGCTACACTCTTGTCAGTATAGCCCAGTATGCAGCAAACTTCAACAGCTGCAAGGGCATCCTGATGACCCTCTCAAATTTGTTGTCCGGGTCTTTCTCTGCAATTTTGCTTCTAGCTAGCTGGCCCTCAGCCCGTGCTGTTGCCTTCACCTGTTGGCAGGGAGAGTGAACTGAATACAAATCGGTGGTCAACCAGTAACGTTTAGACAACAGTCGTGCTAAGAAAAGAATTATTCATAAAGTATAGGACTGGAATTTAAACTGTTCTGTCTGTTTTACACTTTCATATATAGATTGTTATCAGAATGATTGTGGAAATGTCCTTGTCATGTTTTCTGGTGATGCTTTACTTATTTCAGGTCGAATACTTCCAGGTGTGAAGTTAAAAAAAAAGAAGTTGGCTTTGGGGGAGTAGTAACTCTGCTCTGCAGAATCACTGGTGTTTTTCTTTCTTGTCTATCCTCAGTTAAACTTCCTGACCTAAAGGAGGTTTCAGGGGATGTTACGCAAGAAGGAAGGAAATCAGATGGACTTTGTAGGGCTGGAAGTTGGAAAGGACTGATGTGGAGAGAAAAAGTATATACATTGAAGAAATAATTGAAGTGCAGTTGAGATTTGAATCCAGGATGCACTTTATTTGGATAAGAAATGCAGAAGATAATCTCCATCATTCTCCTTCAACAGACTTCTGATATTAAGGAAGTCTGTAGGTTCAGGAATAGAAGTAAATATCGTAACCTGTAAAAAAATTTCTTAGACGTGGAATTGCTCTGACATAAACTGAACACAGAGATATAGCAGAGGGCATTGACTTCATGGTCATGATAGAACAGTAATTCAGAGTAATCAGGTGCAATTAAGGCTGTCCAACTACATAGGTGTATAGCTGATAGTCTACTTATGTGATTTCTAAATGGAAATTCCTGGATTCTGCTAGCTGGTAATACATGGGCCTTGTTAATGATTTGTATTTATGTGTTCTCTTTTCTGTTTTTTTTTTTTTTCCCCCGCTTCTTTTCCATATTTAACATTATGTCTTTTAAGCTTCAAAACCAGCACAGCTTGTTTCATGTTTTATCTCAAACAACCTATGTCTTGCCTCTTTTTTTAATTTGTGCTATCTGCCGCTGCCTGACTGTCATTCAGAGAGTAAAAAGGAGGAACTAACAACAAAACTAGGGATTTGCCAGCAAGAATCAGGATGGTGGAGCCTAAGCTTCAACTTCTTAATGTCTGAGCAGTGATCAGTGTCTGTTTATGGAAATAAAAATAGCCTTTGAATTTAAATGCAGAGACTAATGTAGTCCTTTCACATGAGACTGAAAGTGACCAGTAGCAGGTGTAAGATAATGGGATTCTCTTTGCAGACAGTTACAGAATAAGGTGCATATAAGGGTTTTTTTGTTTCTTCTTCTTTGCCACTGATAGTGCTTGAATTATTCTATAAGGAAGAATGGTATATAAACTTTCTTTAAAAAGTTCTGGCTAATGTGACTGGACATGCTTAGACATTTAGAAATAAATAAAAATAAAAAGAAAGAAAAAGCTCTAATTCTTTTCTGGTCCCTTTACCATAATGTTTTCTTGTAATCATTCTGTTTGATTTCTACAGGCTAATTTTCCACTACATGTAAAAGCTCTTCCTGTTAAAGGCTTTGCAGTTTTGTGTCTCTAAAGTTTCACTGCAAGTCCTCTTGTTCTTGCTCTACAAAACAGGAGGTATAGTAGCACCCGGCTGATTTGCTTTGTTCTGTTTGTTGCTGCCTATGTGTGACTTGCTTCCTCTTAAATCTCTGTAAATTAAACAGTCCTAATCTTTTCAGCTTCTCCACACAAAGGAGTCACTTTGCCTTTGATTGTTTACATTGATAATCTCTGGTTTTCTTCCATTTTTGTTAAAGTTTCTGAATATCAAGATCTTACTGCACTATTGGAGGTTTGTCATCGATGGATGTAATAGAATTCAATAGAGAAAATATGGTATTAAATATATTCTTTCGTTCACTTATTTTTCCTTCTCTTTTTTTCTTTTAAAGACTATAACAAAATTAATCAATGGTCCTAGTCATACAAAACCTTGAGTCCTGTATTTTCCTCTGAATCAAGTGCTATTACAAGATTTAACAGCAGGGTCTGCATCTCTTAAAAACTTTCCACATGACGCTGTATGTTGATTTCCCTTATTAACATCCTTCTGCCTTAGGAGGGCAGGTAGTATATTAGCGTTATCTTCCTCCTTCCAGGTTTGTGTGAAAGCCATGTTATTACCAGCGGAAGTAACATGAGCATGTTGGCCTTATGGTGCCTTAGCTGCTGTCCCGAGTCTTGTTGCTTTGGGAAGTTCTTTAATTTGTGTTAATCGCTTTCTGCTCCTCTGTAGCCCGCTCTTCTCTGTGAAGGGTTATGCAGGCATAAAGGTCTCTGTCATCTTTCTTTCTCTGTGGCAGAGATTTCTTTGTCTGCTTTCCCTTTGAAAAAGCTTTTTCCTGATGGAGTGCTCTCTGTGCTTTCTCATCAGCTTTGAATGTCCTTAATTTGGCGAGACAGACTCTTACAACTGCAGGAAGGTTATATTTAGGTTTTGTGCCTGGTACATGTGAGCACTGTGCTTGATTAGTTACATTCTTTTTCTTCCTTTGCTGTCAGGTATTACTTTAAAATAGAGTTCTTCTTGCTAGCCTGCCTGCGTTCTCCTCAGACCTGCTGCAGAGTGTTGGGGGTACAGTTTCAAATCTTGCATTTGACCCAATAAAAGATGATCAAAATAATGCATGGGGCTTCGATTGTATTCTGCCTCTTTGAGGCACAATATTGGACACCTGAGCACAGAACTTGATGTTCCAGATTTCTTAGTATAGCTCTTACAAAGGCTCCCTGTGTACCTTCCAGGAGTCCTTTAGCTTCATTGAGTTGGTAGCATCGGGGTGGCAGGAAATCAGCAGTCCTATTTGGGTGAGGTAGGCCAGTGCCCGTTATGAAGCTGAGGCAAAAAGAGTAATCCGGCCCAGGGTGTGTTACTTTCTCCATGAAGTTAAGGAGACAATATATTGCAGAGTGATTCTGCTAGTGAACAGAAGGTGAAGTCCTTTAGAGACTCTGAAAAGCCCGTTTTTGCACTCATCTGCAGAACTTGAGGATGGACCTGTTGCTTGGTTCAGAAAGAAGAGTCTGTCAGTGCCGTGACCGGAAGAAGCTCTGTGAGGGACTCTCAAGAGTTCTTAGGAATCTCAGAAAGTGCTTTCATGCATCTCAATCATGAGTAGATCCTGTAGCCCGCATTACAGCACATCTCTTAATTGGTGGAAAACGTGAGGAATTCTTACCTGCATCTCTTGTTTGCAGCATGCAGGTTTACGGTGTCGGTGAGAAGTTTTCATGTTACTTGCTCTCTACCTTACTTTAATTCACAGGACCTGGTCACGTTTTGTAGCTGGTACCTGCACCACAGGACCTTTGTGCTCACTGTGCCAAACCTCAGGGCTGCACTAATGATCAATAATTCACTTACACAGCATACGTTGGCATTCTTTCCATCTAGAAGGGATGAGATGTGGAGAAATCACATGCGAGAACACTAGATCATATAAGCTAGCATCTCAGTCAGTAATTGCTTGTGTATCTTATTAATTATTTTTTTAATTGAATTTCTAATTACAGAATTCTGTCTGCTACACGAACAGCAAGGAGGTTTTGAAAAAGAAAGCACAGAAGGCTCAACTTATCCCCATTCAGCGCTATTCAAAGATGCTTTGTTTCTCTATCAGCCAGATGCTGTTGATAATGAGATGTACTCTGGGGCTAAAAACCTCATTCCCAGTGGTGCTTCTTTAAGTGTATTGAAACAAGGTATTGCCAGAAATGCTTTACATGATTGCATTACAGTAAGTTAAGCAACATGATAGGAGGAAATAATCTGGTACAATAGTACCTAAGAAATTTTGTTAGTTCATTTTAATAGCCGTTATCAGGAGCTCTTGGGGGAATGCACTGAAAGAATAGAAAAATTTACTTCTGCAGTAGGTATCTGCAGTGGACTGTTCCCTAGGAATATCCTGAATCCCTTTGTCATAAATATGATCTTACAAAATTAGGGGGTTATGCCAGTTATGTTACATTCCAGGTAAGCTCTATAAGATTAGTGATGATTCATGCTTTCATTCAGAAAGGGTCACTGAAAGTATTTTTTCATGATTTGGAAAATAGTAAAGCTTCTCAGTTAAAGGTTGTTTTAAATCTCAAAAACTACAAAAACATCTCCCCCGCCTTAAATTAGCCTCATTATTTTCCGAGACGCTTTATAGAAATCTTTGGTATCAACTAAGGCTGACAACATTAAAATGTGATTTCAATGGAAGTTTGCAAATTGGTATAATGGGCCAGGCACAACTTGTTTATTGTAGGGATGTGGAAGGAAGGGGCAGGATTGTCACCAGAGGAATGAAAAAGGGGAAAAGAAATCAAGGCCTCAGAACACACTTTACTTTTCATTAGTTCTTGGTAGAGTTCTTACAGCTGGTTCTAATGATGAACATCACTTGTGTTATCTCTAAATTTCACCCTTTCTTCATGGCTATTCAAGAGACTAACTGTGACCTAAATAGGTATTTGTTGGCCTGAAATAAATTCTGTTATTTCTCCAGTTAGATTTGTTTGAAAGGAATGACTGTGTCTCCGTGTATATAAAAAACTCTTATTTGTGAAAGAATGGTATGCCACTGTTCTGTTTTTTTGTTTTAGCTTAACATGCTTTAGTGCCTTTCTTGCTTAAAAGGCCTGGAGGTTCCTTTTAATTAATTAACCTGAACTGTCTATTGGAAAAAAACTAAAAAAAATTGTTTATACTAAAGCAATTTAAAGTAGATTTCCTCTTCTGTTATTTGTGTAGACAGTCATATGATTGCATCAGGTACAAAAAATATCTGCCTCTGGCTGGATTGTGGGGTTTTTTCCCCCCCAATGAAGTACTTTTTAGATATAAAAGGCATCTTGAAATAAAGCGTGTTTCTTGACCAAAGCGACATGAAGGGAAATTTCTTTTAAACAAGATTAAGCATGCTTGCATGCCCATTTTTTTGGAATGTGGAAAAACACATTCCAACCTTCCAGTTGGCATTATTGACTTATTTTCTTCTAGCAAAGTGGTAATTTGATGTCATAAAAAATTTTGTTTTAGTGTCATAGTTGAATTGTGGGGAAAGAAGTGCAGTGAACACTCTTGTGCTTCTGCTTTACGTATTGCAAGGGGTTCAATATTTTAATCAAGAAGAGATTTTTGTCCTGATTTTTGTGATAATAATTAGGTCAGGGGTGAAGGGTTGTATTTTTTTGATGTGCCTGATGAAATACGAGGACAATAACAACTTAAGATTGCAATAGGAACTTTTAATTCTATATGTGAACTCGTACCATTAACTTTGTAATTCATATTAACCCACAGATTAAGAAGTAAGGGTACAAGCAGAACTCTTCATTCTGCCTTATAAATGAACATTCTCTGGAGATGAACTTTCAAGTGAGAAACTTAGTATATGGTTAGTTCAGTTAACATTAAAATACTGAATTCTAAAATACTAAAAATATTGAACACCGAACGTTCAATACATACTGCACCTTAGTAGCTATTCTTTGTTCTTAGAATTGTCATTGATGCTTCATTGGCTCATTAGGGAGATATAATCAAATGTGTTCTAACCTTTCATTATAACTTGTGATGACCGAAATCAGGATGCCAAGATGATCCGATAAATGAGCTTAGGAAACGTGCAGAAAAAATGTTTGCTGTTTTTACTGGCATTTGTGTAGCAATACTTAGTTTTACTTTTTACTACTTTCTTGGGAAAGATCTGTCATGGTTGAAGACTCAGTTCCAGCCCTTTGTGAAGCTGCCGGAGGACAAGCAAAAAACTTTATATAAAACCCTTTGTGAACTCTTGCTCCATGAAGAAACGGTAACCGCCCTGGGGGATGTGGTAAGATGAAGAGACTTTTGCTTGCTTCCTAAAAGTAATTTCAGAATGGAGCTAGCATTCCCTTTTCCTTGAACTTTTCAAGAATTTATACTTTTCTTTTGCTTCAGTTAGATGATATCTGCACAGGAGACGAGCCAGATCTGAAGGAGTTAAAACCCACACAACGGCGAGATGTCATTGACTTCTTGCAGCTCTTGGGGTGCAGTTTACAGAGTGAGCTGTTGTTGCAGAAATACCGCCCTTATGATGAACTCTTGTCAGCTGCTCACCTCCTCATCAGAGCGCTCTCGGGTATGTTGTGAATGAAGAGAAGAGCCCTTTTAAAATTTATTTTCCTTTTAGAAGCTTCCTCTCTGATAAAGTATTTATGGTTCTTTTTGAGCAGTTGGTGAACTGAGTGAACGTAATTTGTTCTGTTCCTTTTTATGGGTTTGGTATACCATGCTTAGCATTCCTGGCTGTGAATTGAATTCAGCCCTCAATCAGTGACAGATCTTGCTTGGAAAATGCACATTTTCCCCAAGATTGCTCAACTCTCCTTTCTGCTGTATGTGGGCATTTTCAGTTTGGCAAGCTAATATCTGTTCTGGTTGCCTGCCGGAGTTCTTCCTGCCTAAATGCTGAGAATGACAAATTAGGTGTTGTTTTCTGTGTAACAGTGTAGATTGTTGAGGTGCGAACTATATTTAGCAAAAATGAATTTAACATAGAGATGCTGCAGTTACAGGGTTGTTTTGCAGCTGCTGAAAAAGGAGATTAAACATAAATGTCAAACAAATGCTATGCTCACCATCTCGTTGGCACCACAGTGTTAATTGAAAGCTACCTGCAAAGTCCAAGACAGACTTCCCTGGCTTTTTCTCCTCTCTCTCGCATACAGAGAATTTCCTGACATTAAGATAACGAAGGGAAGTCCAGTGTGGTATTAGTTGGATGTGGCACTGTGCAGCAAAATGTCAGTGTGCATCCATATACGCACAGTACCCAGGTAGGAAAGCTTAACTCATTTGCAGAGACAGAAAAGAAAGAGAGAGCAGAAACCTGCTGATGCGGTAACACTTGTCAGATGCTATTAACAGCAGGGCGCAGCTAATTGGGTGTGTTGTATTATCACCTGGCTTTGGGCATGATGTCTGCTGCTAACGTCCAGGCGTAAATGTAGTTGGATCAAGAATCATAAGCTGTTTTATGCCTGTTGCTTCTATTAGGAATTACAGCCTTTGAGTTACCGAGTTGAAGGGCACCACAGGGATCCATCTCCCTGCCCCAAAGCAATCTTGGCTATGTCATTCCTCTCAAATTGTGTTTTTACTGAAGTCAGCATCTCCTATAGATTTTGAGAGTGGAGGTTCTTGTTTTATTCAAGGCCTAAGTCATTCATCCAGCCTTAGAGTGGGAGCGAAACACTGGGGAGATACTTAGGGAGGAGACAAGAATGATGGGGAGGAAATCCCCTTATCTGCGATCTGCCTTTCTTTGCTGAGGGCAGGGATAGTCCCTGCGGGGCTTTAACCCATCGCCCATCCCATTTTATTCTGCATTCTGGGAGGCAGGTAGGAAAGGGGTGGGTCAGGCTCTTCCAAATTTCCAGCAGAGCACTTGTGACAACCGTCCTCCGCATTGAATTGCTTTGGTCTTCAGCATCCATTTCATGAGGTGCTGTACCTGCAGGTGGGCCTCAAAAATGCAGCTCGTCTGTCTTTGCTCAGCAGGAGAACCCTGTAACAGAGCTCACTGTTAAGAAAGTCCCCTTCCCAGCAGCCAGCCCCGAGCAGTGTTCACTGGAGACAATCTTCCCCTTTTAATGTTTCCTTCACAGAGCTGTCTGATTACACTCTTGTCCTGCTGCGTGCCTGCTGTGATCTTCAGGTTGTTCCGGCATTGTGTTGTTTGGTGAGTAATCAAAATGTGACCGTGTAGCATGTGCGTCCCAGCAGCAGCAATGACTGTTCTCCGCCTTTACCGTGTTTCTCGCCCAATAAAGATGATGTCGAGCTCCAGTGTGAATTTCAGCTGTAGGCATTGCTTAGGCAAGGTCAGAGTCTGACAGTGGCAAACGATGCAGGTAATTTACTGCATACCTAACTTCTAAAATGTTCCTGTATCTGGGGGACTTTTTCGGCTGTGGGCAAAAGAAAATTGTAACTTAAGCTCAAATTCTAATTTACTAATAGTCTCACTAGCCCATTTTAATGTCTCGGTAACAGTAATCACCTGCCCTTGGGAAACAAATTTCACTTTGATAGCAGCAGCGCTTGGGTCTTGGCAAATTCTGAAGTTCTGAAACTCTGAGTCCATTCATTGAAACTGCTGAAGGAAGGGAGCAGGGCTTTTTTAAAGCTTTTTAAGCTCACTGACAAAAATAATAGTAAAAACCTTTGAAAATGTAGGGCAAGGGGAATGCTACTGTTTGCTCAGAATGAGAGTTAAGTGTGATCTGCAGTGAGAGAAGTTGGACTGGGGAAAAGGACGCGGTAGGAGAGATGTTTCTCCTTAAAGGGTGCCATAGAGCTTTGGTTCTGGATGAGTATGTTGTACTTGTCAAGGCTAAGAGTAAAGGGAATCTTCCCCTTTTGCTGCTGCCTTGTAAGCTCTCCGGTGGTTTTGTAAGAAGAAACTGAGCACTGCTTGGAAAACCTTTTTAATGTCTCTGTCTTTTGCTCTCTCTCATAAATACAGCCTAACATCGCTTCGGCCGATGGCAGCGTGGCGCTGAGCAGTCCTTTGGTGGTTACTCTCACTGACAGAGGAAGATTTGATGTTGTGCAAAAGCTGTTTGCTTCATCAAACATTAATTTGGAAATGACAGAGTCTTCTGTAAAAGCTGTAACTATGCAAGAACCTCGATTCTTCCCACTTGTTCTTTATGTTGCATTGTGTGGATTTTATGCTTTAGGTGGGAATGTATAGGAGCTTTGCTGAGCATCCGGGTACTGCTCTAGCCTGTTCTTTCGTTTGTACCTCTGCAGCGCAGCGTTGGTGTGTTTGAGCAGTAGAGCCACTCAGTGGAGTGGTTATGGCAGTAACCAGGTTATGGAGGTCAGGGTGGGCTTGGCATGGCTGGGGAGAGCGCTCTGCTAAGGTATGGCTGCAGTGGAAAATACGGAAATAAGGGATGATGCTGGGGGCGGGGGGGGGAGGAAAAAATACAAGCCCGGAACAGACATTGAACGTAGCTGTTCTGGTTAGTTGTCAGATCTGCAGGGTAGTAGAAGGCTGATTGCTTGCGGTAATAGGCGTGGGAGAAGACTGCAAAGTACAAACCGCTTTGTGTAAGCAAGCAAACAAACAGGCGGTGGAAATCTGGAGTTCTGCAACGCAGTAAATGTTTTGCTCATTTAAGATGATGCGCAGAATGCCTTCACTCTGGAGCAAGTGGAATGGAGGGCTCTCAAAGAGGCACTTGATTAGGTTTTCATGTATTAAGTGTAGTTGGGCTTTACGGATGTGAATTGCACACTGCAGGAAATAAACCTCCCCTCTTTTTCAAAAACTAAGACCACGCTAGGGATTTATGCCTCTGTATAGCATTTCTCTGTTTTCTTGTAAGTTTTTACTCCCCTTAGCAAGTTTCAGCTGTCTAAATTGCATTCTGAACTTTCTCTTGGGGTACAGTGATGCCTTTTGGTGTGTGCACACAAAACGTCCTTGCTGCACTCCACAAAAACGATCATTGGGTAACCATACGACATTTTGAGCGCAGATGTTTTCCTTGACTAACGGCAAAGTGTTGGTAAAGCCCTTTGTGCTTTGGACTGCTCTGCCCTTTTTTTTATTATAACTTTTTTTGTAATCACGTGAATGGGACAGAAATACAGCAGAGATCACTGTAAATATGGGCTTGGGAAGGTGATGTTCTAGGTAAGTGGAATATCAGTGGTTTCGGGGTAAGAATGTGATGTGGCTGACAGGCAAACAAGCAGGCGTGTGTGGGGTGATCAGTAACCCGCCCCTGCAGCTTAGCTAGTGGGTAGGAGTCCTGGGTTCAGTTTTCTGCTCTGTTCCCACATGGTCTTGAGCGGGTTGTCTAAAAGGTCTTTAAAAACTCGTGCCAGTTAAGCTTTCCCCGAGGAAGTGGGCTTTGCAGAAAAGCACTGTGGGACCGTCCTGTGTCCCGAGAGGGCAGGAGAGCGTTGCACATGTCTCCTCTGTTAATGGAGGTGATGGCATTGCCTGAACCTTACACTGGTGTACGTAGAAATGTCCTTCAGGAGAGTGGAAGCACGTTACTCTGCTTCTGGGGGTGATGTGTGTTTGTAAACGGGAAAGTCTTAGAAGTTGCCTCTGTAACTAACTAATTTATCAAAACTTTCTATTAAATGTTATGTCAAAACAATAGAATAACTTATAACCTCATGCATATAGTTTCCATTGTTCTTTTTTGGGGGGGATTCCAGGCGTTCCCTTGGCCTTGAAAGGTGGCGCACAGATGACAAGTGGATCCATGGGCATCCACGTAGTGACACTGTCCATGTGCTCTGATCTTCCTTATAGAGTTTTGGTGGAAGCTTTATTTCCACTCTATTGCCTAACTGCTTTCAGGGTGTGCGTGCTCTGTCTTATATGTAGGAGAGGGTATTTGTTTAAAGAGGGAAAAAACCCCAACCAACTCTAGATATTCTATAGGAACATCATTTAAAAAAAAAAAGAAAAGGTATCATTTGTTTCCTGCTATTTTGCTTTCTAACCAGTCCCTTGGCTCCTCACCTCATCTGCTGCCATACTTTTAGGATTGATCAGAGTGTCTGCAGCAGCCATTAGTTGCAATTCAGTCTTGGCATTGTCCTCTTCTATGCTCTTTGTGGAGAAGTTTCCCAGCTTTCCTCCATTTGGCAGCGCTTCTGTGGCCAAGAAGCACCTCTAGACCAGCAGGTAGCCCAGGATGGCCTTTTTGGAACTGGGTAAGCAGGACAGATGGGGGAAAAAAGAGACACTAAAGCAGTTTATACTTTCATCATTTTCCCTCCAGGTCCTTCTTCCACACTCTTGAAAGCGGGATCCTTCTACACATTAATATTAAAAATAGCTCAGACTGAGGATATGAAGATCCAAGGGAAGAGCAGAAGCAATCTGTCTCTCTCCAAGTAACTCTTGTCCTGCCCTTCCCTAAGCTAAATGAGGATAGCCTTTTCAGGGACCCAGCCTAAGCTGAATTAAGTCAGAATCCACTTTAGAAGAGCTGGATGTGCAGCCACTACGTCATAGGTAAAACAGCGATTTCTTGTGACAGGTTGCCCTCATAGACAAAATTCTTTTTCAAGGTTAGATGGGGTCTTCCCTAGAAAACGGAGGTGGTAAAAAGGCTGAAGGGTCCTTCAGAGACAGGTGGAGCTTGTCTCATAAAAGGTTTGATTTCACACCCTGACTTCCCTCCCCAAATCGTTATTCCCTTTGCCCAGGAAATAACTTCTGCATTCCCCAGGGAGAAGGGGGACGAAGCTGCCCCTTGGCAATTCAGAATGAGATCAGGCCCAGGTCAGCAGCCTCTTTCCAAAGAGCGTACGCTGTCTCCAGAGCGCAGCAGGCTCTGCCTTGCTGTTGGTAACCAGCACTTGTCTCGCACAAGCTGCAGTTCTGAGTCCCTTGGGCTTTTGGACGCTGGCTAATTACCGCTTGGGCCCAGGAGAATGACTCCCTCAGCGCTGCAGCGCTCAGAAAATAAGGAGCCCAAATTCAGCAGTGACACTTATAGGATGGTTGAAGATGCCCCAAGAGCTCCATACACTGAATTGGGATTCACAGCATTCAAGAACATTAAGCCGAACAAGACCAACTGAAATGTTGCTTTTCTGACCTGTGAGCGCTAAATGAGGCACAAACGCTGTAGCAGCAGTGCGCGGGTACCGGTGCAGCCTGCGGCTTCAAAACCAACCAAAGCAGCACAGAGTGCACAGTGCGGTCTGTGCAGACGAGTTGGTCAGCGTAATACTGGGCACGACCACCCCGGTGTACTGGCAGGAAATACTTAGTGTGTTGATGTGGAGCCAGTTTTCAACAGCAAAGGATTCTGTGAAGATAAAAGGCAGATGTGCGCAGATTGCTTCTTGATAGTTTCCTTATTTGGCTAAAATGCGGAGTATGACACACAAAAAGTCAGAAAAAAGCTAATTCCTTTTTTTCAATATTAAATCTTTATTATGTACAAAAATATTTTGTTGGGAATTAACAGAATTTCACAATTTGTACATTAACATTTTTATGTTTGGCTGTGTTTATTGTGAAAATATTAGCTGTGAAAAAGACAATGGGGGTTTTAGAAAACAAGTCACAATTTAAAAATGTCCTATGTCTTAGCTGACTTGATCAGTATGAAGTCAGAATGCTAACAAGTCCCATCTCCTAGGCCTGCTCTACAGTATTGTATCCAAACAACAGTTAGGTACTAAATCATCTTCAGGTTTACATTAGAAAGTTTAGCTAATAGTTAAGATTTTTTTTTCAGCTAAAGAATATTTTATTTTTACAGGAGAACAGTTTTTAAAGTTTTACAAATGTTAAATCCAGTTTAAGTTAATATGCTGTAGAAGAAAAAAAAACCAAACAAAAAACCAAACAAAAACCCACGAGAGCTTCCAATAGGCAAAACCAGTTTTGAGAACAAGCGAGGTAAGGAAATGCACGGTGACGGACGTCTAATACACATGGAAATGCAAACACTTAACCAAGATTTTACAGTTCTTACCCCAGTTTGGGGTGGGAGAGCAGCAAATTTTCTTGTATTTTAAAACCTAAGGAAGCACGGTCCCCCTTCTTACACCACAGTACACAAATGTTACACAGGGGCAATAGATGATGAGGGAGTGGGGGAGGGGGTGGAATGCTCCACATGCATTCTCAGTGGGGTTAAAATACATTTCAACTGTTACCTCCATATATAATTGTGTATAAGACCTAAACCAACAAAAATCAGTCAAAAACATTAATCTTTTTTTTGCAGCCAACAATTTTGCTGCCACCCCCAGAACTGTACAAAGCTGTATCGCTCGTTTTGCTCTGCAGTACCTATCACGTAAGAGGTCAAAGAACAGCGAAGTTATTTTTGGCAGAGGTTTTTTACTGTCTTCTAGGTTACTCTTGGCTACTTACAGAGTATTGCTTGGATCAGCCGTGAGGACAGCTAAACTCGCATGGACAAGCAGTACCACGGGGCTAATGACATTAAAAGGAACAGGATAAACGGGAGAAAGTGTTTCCAGGACTACTGTAACTACGTTAGCCTGGCAGGTTGGGGGGGGAGTATTCCGCATCCAACCGCCGCCTTGGCAGCAAAAGGAACTCCGTACCCAGCTAGCATGGGGAAGGGTTAAAAACAGACCAACATTCACATTTACTGCAAGTGTAATTTAGTCTACAAAACACAAATATTGCTGAGACCCTGCTAAAAAGAAATCAATCTATCTATTTTGAGGTGAAACCGCTTAACAGCCTTCACCACGCTGGAGTTTGTTTTTAAGCCCGTAGGGGTAAGTCCCAGCTGCAGGACCCGCAACTGAACCGAGCGTTCAGCAGTTCAAAATGAGACGGTCTGTGGAACAGCATCCCACCGTGGAGAGTTCAGGTAAATTAGCAGATACTGCCTGAATTACTTGCGGTACTTACCCCTAAGTTTTATTTCTATGTGTGTGCATATATGCACACTATAAGCACACTTTTAATATGTCTGGAAGCCAAAGCTGCCTCTGAAAATTGGTTATTGTACAAGTGTTTTCACCCTTTTTAGTACCTGTCTTAGGACTGAAAACTAAGTTATAGCAGCTGAGAATCCCAGACAATTCCCATCAGTAAGGTTATTAAAAATACATGAAAACCAAAAAAGGGTAGGCCAAAAAAAGAAACCCAGAAAAAAAAAAAAAAAAAAAAAAGGCCAGGACTTCACCACCTTCAGTAATGCCAGTCCACCAGAGAAAGCA